TCAAAGGAAAGAGGCAAGCAAGGCTGATGCTTATGAGCAGATCATGGAAAATATATGTTGCTGACAGGTGGCAAACAAAATGATATTGACCAGTTTGGGGTAACATGGGGAATTATGACAATTACCCATGAAAAGACTAAGGCTTTTTGGGAACAAGCAGAAGCTGGAGAAAGTATGTAAAAACATTGAGAACCAAGAGTACAAAATGCTTTTTCTTTTATCCCCCCTTTCAACCAGAGAAAGAGAGAGAGGGAGAGAGAATGACAAATAATATCTATCACATTGTTAATGCAAAACTGCCTTGTTGTTATCATTCACCCACAAAACAACCTTGCAAGGTAGCACTAAAGACAACAGTATCTTATAAAGAGAGAAAACAATCACCTCAAAGCCACCTGATTTGCTCCTGGCAATGGCAGAATAAACAGAACACTTCTATGTCCAGACGTAATAGCCTGATTATTTATGTAATAGAAAACCTACATTCATGCAGTTAAGCAGATTCAATGTTAAAACAACAATGGCCAATTTGCTTTTCACACATTTACAAAACACCAGCTAACATAACACAGCCTTGCCCTGGTGTATATTCTTGCCACTGGCTATTTACATTTCTGTTTTTCATCTTGGCTAGCCTCCCCCCACCCACCACCCCACCCCACCCCACCCCACAGGGATTTGGTATCATAAATGGCTGCATAACATAGAGAAATTCCATAGCTATATCATTACCCTGTCACTGCATCACCATGTTCAGAAAGCAACACCTGTTGAACTTCAGCCAGTGAAGAGGCTCACAAAGGTTTGAATGCTTTGGCAGAAAGAAAGGGACAAACCTTCAGTGGCTGTATGGCATGCTCATGTCGGTTCAGTGAAAGAAATAAGGGAGCCTGAGTCTCCCCTCTTTGGAGAAATGCAGGTTTACAAGATGTTTAAACCCCTTGCCCTCTGGTTGCAATCATGCAGGGCATCTTTACAATCATCCCTTCTACTTTTTTCCATTAACAACACACTTAATTTGATGCATATCCAGGGAGGGAAAAATGCCCACTCAACCCCACAGTAAGCACTTGTGCTGAACACTGGATTAATTAATTAATTGCTATGCTTTGGGGCTGACAAAACCACCATTATATGCATTTTATTCCCCTTTCTTGTAGATATGTTGTTCACCTTCTCGTACAGTCACCAAGCAGGGTTCTACTTTTAACAGGTCTGGGATGTATTTGAAAACACATCCCCTTGGGGCCGCTTCACAGGTTACATTTTGAGATGTCACACAAAGATGTTCTGCGTGTGTTATCTACAGTGGGGCTGTCTGTCATACAGCACGTATATCACACAAGTGCTCTCATCAGGGAGACAGTATTGCCTATGTTTCCCTGACGAGTGTACACTTGTCTACATAATATGTAAAATGATCCTCACATGATTTAAATGAGAGATCCTAGTAAGGCGCTGGGCTACCTAATAAGAAAAGCACTTAACAGGGAGTTCAATGCCGCGACAATCACCCAACGCGGTTTGAAATCTTAACCTCTGAATAGTTATTTCTCCCCGTAATCCACAAAGCTCATGTTCACATGTTGATGCTGGAAATGTCTGGAGCTTTGTTTTACAGATACAGAACTCGATTCCCTAAATACCAATGCGCTTGGAATTTTAAAACCCTAGTATTAACAGTTGTGTTGGTCTCTTATTCTTCTCCCACAGAGCTAATGTACAGGCAGACACCAACATTAAATATAGATTCAGAATGGGTGATAAAATATATGCATGTCAAAAGGATCAGAGATAAGCTATGTCAAATTCTAGTTTGCCAAACAGATACTTATGATCACTTCTGTGGCTATCGAGAGGTTCCATTGTTAGAAATTACTAAGATTAAACCAGGATTTGCCCCAAACAGGAGATCTGACTGCCCTTCATGGTAGAGGAAGAGCTCAGCTCAGATAACAATAATAGTCTGCATATAAGTCCAGCTGTGTAGCACTAGCAGGCAAAGAGCACTGCAGGCTGGAGGGGGGAGTTGGGTGTCAGGTGTCTATTATCTGCTTTGGAAAGAATCACAGAATAATAGATTTGGAAAAGAATATATGGGTCATCTAGTCCAACCCCCTGCCATGTAAGAAAGGCACAATCAAAATACCCCCAACAGATGGCCATCCAGCCTCTGTTTGACAGCCTCCAAAGAAGGAGCTTCCACCACACTGCAAGGCAGAGAGTTCCACTGCTGTACAGCTTTTATAGCCATGAAGTTCTTCCTAATGTTCAGATGGAATCTCTTTTCCTGTCATTTGAACCCATTGCTCAATTAAGTCCTAGTCTCCAGGGAAGCAGGAAACAAGCCTGCTCCCTCTTCCTTATGACATCCTTTTAAATATTGAAACGTGGCTGTCATGGGCTGTATGGCCACTGTTCCAATAGCATTTTCTCCTGACATTTCATCTGCATCTGTAGCAAGCATCCCCAGAGGTTTGTTGGAAATTAGGCAAACAGAGCTATCTATCTATCTGTGGACTGACCGGGGTGGGAAAAGAACCCTTGTCTCTTTGAAGCAAGTGTAAATGTTGCAATTGGCAAGCTTGATTACTCACAGCAACCCAGTGATTTTTGGTCACGAAAGTCTTCGACAACACATGACTCTCATGCCTCCTCTCAACCTTCTTTTTCGCAGGCTACACATCCCCAGCTCTTTAAGAAATGGGGAGATTACCTGTCACCTGAAGAATAAGGGGCGAGGGCATCTGCAGCTCTAGAACTCAGGGCCCGCCCACACAGCCATATAATCCAATCAAGGTAGAAAATCCCACAATATCCCAGGATCTGATCCCAGATTATCTGTTTTGAAATGGATTATATGAGTCTGCACTGCCAGAAAACCTTGGATAAGCAGATATTCTGGGATCAGATTCTGAGATATAGGGACTGTATGGAAGGGCCCTTAGTTATCAGAGGCCCTTTCCACACAGCTGAATAAAATCCCACATTATCAGCTTTGAACTGGAACATATCGTAGTTCAAAGTAGATATTACGGGGTTTTCATTCTGGATATTCTGGGTTATATGGTTGTGTGGAGGGGCCCTGAGTCCACACTGCCATATATTCCAGTTCAAAGCAAAAAATGTGGGATTTTATTCAGCTGCATGGAAGGAGCCTTGGGGTCCTGTAAACCCAAGGGCCCCTAAACCATGTCCTTCTTCATCTCTCTTCCAAGGGCCCTTCCATACAGCCATATATCCCAGAATATCAAGGCAGAAAATCCCACAATATCTGCTTTGAATTGGATCATCTGAGTCCACACTCCTATATATTCTAGTTCAAAGCAGAAAATGTGGGATTTTATTCAACAGTATGGAAGGAGCTTCAGGGTCCTGCAAACCCAAGGGCCCCTAAACCACTTTCTTCTTCATCTCTCTTCCAAAAGCCCTTCCATACAGCCCTATATCCCAGAATATCAAGGTAGAAAATCCCACAATATATGCTTTGAACTGGGTTATCTGAGTCCACACTCAGATAATGTGGGATCTCCTTCCTTGATATTCTGGGGTATAGGGCTGTGTGGAAGGGCCACAAGAAGATGCAGGCGAAACGTCAAGAGAGAATGCCTCTAGACCATGGCCATAGTCTAGACCATGGCCGAAAAAACCTACAACAACCCAGTGATTCCGGCCATGAAAGCTTTCAACAATACAATGAAACCTCCTTTGCTTCTTCCTGAGGCAGAAAACAAGGAGCCAGAACAGATGCCCAGTTTGGAAAGGCACTCTACACATGTTCATGCTGTATGCTCTTCCTTAGCCCTATATTCCAGAATATCAAGGCAAAAAATCCCACAATATCTGCTTTGAACTAGGTTATCTGAGACCACACTCAGAGAATGTGGGATTTCCTGCCTTGATATTCTGGGATATAGGGCTGTATGGAAGAGCCCTAAGAAACCTCCTTTGCTTCTTCTTGAGGCAGAAAACAAGGAGCCAAGAAAACAAGGAGGCAGAAAACAAGGAGAGAAAACAGATGCCCAGTTTGGAAAGGCACTCTACACTTCTTCCTTAGGGCGGCATGTTTAGGGGCCCTCCCACACAGCCATATAACTCAGAATATCAAGGCAGATCATCCACAATATCTGCTTTGAACTGGGTTATCTGAGTCCACACTGACAATATAATCCAGTTCAATGGGGATTTTATATAGCTGTGTGGAAGGGACCTAGGACTCAATGGAGCAATGGTTTCAAATGACAGGGAAAGAGATCCCACCTGAATAATAGAATCATAGAGTTGGATGAGACCTTATGGGCCATCCAGTCCAACCCCCTGCCAAGAAGCAGGAATATTGCATTCAAAGCACCCCTGACAGATGGCCATCTAGCCTCTGTTTAAAAACCTCCAAAGAAGGAGCCTCCACCACACATAGAATCATAGAATCAAAGAGTTGGAAGAGACCTCATGAGCCATCCAGTCCAACCCCCTGCCAAGAAGCAGGAATATTGCATTCAAATCACCCTTGACTGATGGCCATCTAGCCTCTGTTTAAAAACCTCCACCACACTCGGGGGCAGAGAGTTCCACTGCTGAACAGCTCTCACAGTCAGGAAATTCTTCCTCATGTTCAGATGGAATCTCCTTTCTTGTAGTTTGAAGCCATTGTTACGTGTCCTAGTCTCCAGGGAAGCTCTCTCTTCCCTGTGACTTCCTCTCACATGGCTATCATATCTCCTCTCAGCCTTCTCTTCTTCAGGCTAAACATGCCCAGCTCCTTAAGCCGCTCCTCATAGGGCTTGTTCTCAGGAAGAACTTCCTCTCTGGCTGGGTGTGTGGCTGGAATCTCCTTCAGTAGAGGCTTTGAAGCAGAGGCTGGATGGTGCTTCTCCTACACTGGGGTCTTTTCCAAGGCTATAGTTCTAAGAAAGCGCCTGGCAAAGGATTCATGCTCCCTTAAATAAGGGGGAGATTCATTCTTCCCTCCCTCTCTCCCTCCCTCCTCCTCAGAGACTTACCCTCCGCTCTGTGGGAAGGGGAAGGGAAAGAGGCTCGCTTAGCCCTCCTCCCTCAGCGAGGAAGGAAGGAAGGCAGGCAGGCAGGCAGGTGCTCTCCTCAGGGCCGCCCCGTCGAGGAGAAGCGCGAGCCCCTTCCACCGGCGCGCCTTTAGCTCCTCTCCGCCCGCAGCGCCTCCCGCGAGCCCTCTGCTGTCTCGCGACCCTCGGAGTCCCTCAGGGAAAGCGAAAGAAGGCGCGCGCCCCGCCTCGTGCCTCTTCCCCGCGCGCCCTGGGGCAACAGGAGGTGGTCAAGCCCCATGCTTCCCCTCGCTTAGGAGGCAGCCCCCGTCCCCTCGCGCTCCCCTCCGCGGGCCATGCTCTTCCTCTCTGACGGAGCGCAGCGCCCTGCCAGCCGTCGCCGCTGCTGCTCGCGCTGCAAAGCCTCTCCGGCAGAACTCCGCTCCTCGCCGCCCGCTTGCCCGCCCGCCTCCTCTTGGCACGCGCAGGGCCCTCTCCGCCAATGGGAGCCCGGCTCGGACTCCCCGCGAGGCCCTGATTGGCCCAGGAGCCTGGCCCAGGACGGCGCGCGCGGGAGGGGCTCGACGAGGCGGAGAGAAAGGAGAGTGTTTTCTTCGACCCTTTTTGCGCTCCTTCCTTGCTTTTGCTTTTAGTGGGTGTTCGGGGGTAAAGTCCCGGATGGAAGGGTTAAAGCCAGTGCTGGAGCCGTGGTCTCCTTCCACACACCTATACAATACCTGCCTATATGGGCCACTCACTGCAAGGTGGTTTTGGGGAAGTGGAGAGGAGGGAGAGAAGGGGAAGATGCCTGTAGTTGAGGGGGAAAAAAGGGGGAGGGGACGTGCAAATGGTACAGATCATTATGGAGATGAACGAGGAAGGAAGTGGATGCTTGCCATAGATGCAGGCGAAACGTCAGGAGAAATGCCTCTAGAACATGGCCATATAGCCCGAAAAAACCCACAAGAACTTAGTGATTCCAGCCATGAAAGCCTTCCACAATACAAGGAAGTGTATTGTTGAAGGCTTTCATGGCCGGAATCACTGGGTTGTTGTAGGTTTTTTCGGGCTGTATGGCCAGGGGCGGCTCCTCCATTATGCGAAGTAAGCGGTCGCAGAACACTTTTTTTTTGCCAGGGGCGCAGAGGCGCCTCTGTAAATGCCCCTCGACTGCCACTTGAGGAGCGCCCCCTCAGCTCACAACAGCCCTAGCAGTCCGGGGGGAGCCTCGGCTTTCTTGCCTCGCTGCCGGGCGATCCTCTTCCCAAAGGGGCCGGGCCCTTGAGCCTCGCCTAGCCCCTCTCGTTCCTGCTCCACCCGGCCACCGGGTGCGCGAGCAGAGCCGGCGCTCAATCGTTCTCCACGTTCGATCCCTTCCCCATGACCGGCTCCCTTTCCCGATCCCCCGCGCTCCACCCGCCTCCTCTCCTCTCCCCAAACGGGTGGGCCAAGGGGCGGAGCCACCGCATCTGGCCCGCTTCGGGTCCGGAGGCGTGTCTGAAGACCCCAGCGTGCGCACCAAAAGTCGCCTCTTCTCCTGACTTTCTCTTCAGCCATTGGGACCAAGAGAGAGAGAGAGAGAGAGCCCCTCCGACTGGAGGTATCTCCCACCTCCGCTCCCTCCTTTGTTTTTGCGCCTACCTTCAGGAAAGGTGGGCATCTCCACCTCTCTCTCTCTCTCTCTCTTGGTCCCAATGGCTGAGGAGAAAGTCAGGAGAAGAGGTGACTTTTGGTGCACACACCAGGGTCTTCAGGCACGCCTCCGGACCCAAAGCGGGCCAGGCAAGGGAGCAAATGCGGCAAGTGTAGTTACTGGGATGTATAGTTCACCTACAATCAAAGAGCATTCTGAACTCCACCAATGATGGAATTGAACCAAATATGGCACACAGAACTCCCACGACAAACAGAAAATATATATCAATGATTGGTTGGGGGGGGGGGGCGCAAAAATACTGTTTGCTTACCGTTGAAAATTACCTAGGGCCGCCTCTGTTTGGTATCCTTCGATGGTCAATCTCTTTGCTTGCTTTGTCTGAGAAGGGAGCAGCCAAGTGTCTAGAGGCATTCTCTCCTGACATTTCGCCTGCATCTATGGCAAGCATCCTCAGGCCCCTTCCATGGCAAGCATGGTCTAGAGGCATTCTCTCCTGACGTTTTGCCTGCATCTATGGCAAGCATCCTCAGAGGTAGTGAGGCCTGTTGGAACTAGGAAAAAGGGTTTATATATCTGTGGAATGACCAGGGTGAGACAAAGGACTCTTGTCTGCTGGAGCTAGGTGTGAATGTTTCAACTGATCACCTTGATTAGCATACAGTGGGTTGACTGTGCCTGGAGCAAACCAACCATCACCCAAGTCAAAAAAGAAGCACAATTAAAGCCTTGGCAGACCGTGCAAAAAGAATCTGCAAACCCCACCTCCTCCAAGATGAACTGAACCACCTCAACTGGGCTCTACAGGCCAATGGATACTCCACCTCAGACATCAGAAGAGCTGCAAGACCAAGAACAAGCCACGAGAGTAAGATGAAGATCCACCCAGAGGAAAAGTGTTCCTGCCATACATCAAAGGAACCACTGACCGCATAGGGAAGCTGATGAGGAAACACAACATACAAACTATCTACAGACCCACCAAGAAAATCCAACAAATGCTACATTCAGCAAAGGACAAGAGGGATCCTCTCACTTCTGCAAGTCTACCGTGTACCATGCAGCTGTGGACAAGTCTACATAGGGACCACCAAACGCAGCATTGCCCAAACACGAATCAAGGAACGTGAAAGGCACTGCAGACTACTTCAACCAGAGAAGTCAGCCATAGCGGAGCACCTGATGAACCAACCTGGACACAGCATATTATTTGAGAACACAGAAATGCTGGACCACTCTCACAACCACCATGTCAGACTACACAGAGAAGCCATTGAAATCCACAAGCATGTGGACAATTTCAACAGAAAGGAGGAAACCATGAAAATGAACAAAATCTGGCTACCAGTATTAAAAAACTCTAAAATTGCAACAGCACAACAACAGAGAGAAAACAAACAAGGACATCTAATCACCTCTCAACAAAAGTTTGCTCCAGGCACTGTCAGGCCATTATATGCTAATCAAGGTGGTCAGTTGAAACATTCATACCTAGCTCCAGCAGACAAGAGTCCTTTGTCTCACCCTGGTCATTCCACAGATATATAAACCCTTTTTCCTAGTTCCAACAGACCTCACAACCTCTGAGGATGCTTGCCATAGATGTAGGTGAAACGTCAGGAGAGAATGCCTCTAGACCATGGCCATATAGCCCGAAAAAAACCTACAACAACCCATAGAATCAAGTTCAAATAGACCCCCAAAGGCTATCTAGTCCAACCCCTGCCATGCAGGAAAAGCACAAGCAAAGCACCCCTGACAGATGGCCATCCGGACTCTGTTTCAAACCTCCAAATGTTGTCAAACAATTTAGAGTGGCTGTGGATAGAGAGATCCAAGCCATTGTGGGTTGCCTGGTGAGAAAAGAAGCCAGTATTCCAGAATAAATCTCACCAAGTTGAAGAGAAAGCCACCGAGGTTTTATTTCATTCCAGGATGATGGTTGCAGTTGTTGTTGTTCATTTCTTCAGTCACTTCCAACTTCACGAGCTCATTGACAAGTTGAAATGTGTCCAGAGGAGGGCGACTAAAATGAGCAAGGGTCTGGAGAACAAGCCCTATGAAGAGTGGCTTAAAGAGCTGGGCATGTTTAGCCTGAAGAGACTGCTGATGTTCGGGCCATGAAACAGGATGGGAAACTTTGATGGTTCCCATCCCACCTGTTTTTCAGTTGTAAAGATGTGAGTAAAGTACGATAAGCAAGGAGATTCCAGCCACATTCCCATGCAAAGAGGAAATTCTTCTTCAGCTTCAGGTGGGATCTCTTTCCCTGCCATTTGAACCCATTGCTCCATTGAGTCCTAGGTCCCTTCCACACAGCTGTATAAAATCCACATTGAACTGGATTATATTGGCAGTGTGGACTCAGATAACCCAGTTCAAAGCAGATATTGTGGATTATCTGCTTTGACGGAGGACTATGCATGACGGCCAGAAGTAGTTTAAGTCATGTGATGAGTTCAGTAACTCTCCATGATTGAATAGGGGCTGAAGTGTCTGGGAAATTTCTCAATGTGATAAAGTGGCTGGTCTCCAGGGCAGTATCCTTTCACATATTTAAACTCTCCAGCTCTAAAAATGAGAAACTGAAGCACCTTTTCTACAGCAAGTGAGAGGGATTTAACATTGACCTATCATTTCCTGACTCATATTTCTGACACCTACATTCAAGATATATGCATTCAAAGACAAACCCTGCTATTCTGCTTTCTGGCTTGGTCTCATACCAGCTCCAAGAGGGTATTCTTTGTTAGCCTTAGTCCTCCATTTGATTGTAAAAATGACAGAAAGAGGTGATGTGCTTTAAATGCTCTAAGCAGCTCAATGGATATGGTAAATGGCAAAGATTACACTGGCCATGGCCAACACACATATTGGGGCCTCAAATGTTAGCCCTGTTTTTGGGTCTATTTGACCTGTGGATTCAAAAAATGGCACCTGTTTTTCCCCATCTGCTCTAGCTTTTGAGATATGAAGCCCCTTCCTTGGGCCCTGAAAGAGGTAGGCGTACTGTTCTGTCGCGTGTTGGGCCTGTATATAGTTGTCTTTAAAACAAGACGTGCGACCTTTGCCCAACGGGAAGCCAGGGGGCCCAAAGAGAAGTTCTCAGAGGTTTCCACCATAAACAGTCTTTAGGTGGCTTGAGAAGTACAACAAAGTTTTTTATTAATGAACAATCAAACAGAAACTTCTCTTGTCTTCAGTAAAATTAAGCAAATGATTCCAAGTTTTTAGGCAACTGGTAAATTCCTAAACTTGCCCATGAAGGACAGGCAACTATCTTCAATAACTTCTTTTTTAAAGGAAAAACCCCTTTTTAACTTCTCCCAGGTTGACTGTAAACTTAAACCTAACTGATGTGGGCACCACTACCGGGTTGAACTGCATCTCAAAGCACCGAGTGGACCTACCAGCAAGGCCTGTAGTCTCTTCAGCTGGAGTTCTTTGATCTTTAGGGCTGTTTCCCTGGAAAGTCTTTGGAAAGTCTTTTGCTTCTGTTTCTGTTGGAATTTCTGTAACCCTGGAAATTCTTAAAGCTGTGGGGATGCTTCCGTGGAGTTCTTAAAAGCTGAAGCTTTTGTAAAGGGGAAGCTTTACACACGTCCTGTACATAGCTAACCTAGCTGAGACTGACTAAAAAATGGCTCCCTTCCCTTCCCAATTGCCCTGATCAAGGGGTGGGACCAAACTTAATGATGATGGACAGGCGGCTTGCCCTATAACTGCAACCAAAGAAGCCACCTATCTGCAGAGTCCCTGAAACTTAGGACTGCAAACAAACAT